TGCAATGGCGCGATCTCGGCTCACCGCAACCTCCGCCTCCTGGGTTCAGGCAATTCTCCTGCCTCAGCTTCCTGAGTAGCTGGGATTACAGGCACGCACCACCATGCCCAGCTAATTTTTTGTATTTTTAGTAGAGATGGGGTTTCACCATGTTGACCAGGATGGTCTCGATCTCTTGATCTCGTGATCCACCCGCCTCGGCCTCCCAAAGTGCTGGGATTACAGGCTTGAGCCACCGTGCCCGGCCTGTTTCAAAATTTCTTTTGATGTGTGAGAGAAAAATATTTGAGGAGCTCAGCCCTGCCTGATCTGCTTCCCCAAGGAGCTCCCTGACCTCCTCTCCTGCCTCTGTTCTTTCCGCTCCCTCTACTGCAACTGCACAGTCCCCTTTCCTTTTCCGTGAGCGTTTCAATGGCGTGATCTTGGCTCACTGCAACCTCTGCCTCCTGGATTCAAGTGATTTTCCTGCCTCAGCCTCCCAAATAGCTGATACTACAGGTACGTGTCACCACACCCAGCAAATTTTTGTATTTTTAGGAGCGATGAGGTTTCACCATGTTGGCCAGACTGGTCTTGAATTCCTGACCTCGTGATCTGCCCACCGCAGCCTCCCAAAGTGGTAGGATTACAGCTGTGAGCCACCGCGCCTGGCTGCGTTTTGTATTTTTAAAATAAGTGGTTGATTAAAGCATGATTTTAGGAATCACATGGTTTATTACCACATGAACAACTTTTTTGTTTTTAGGTTCACAATTTTAAAGCAGGGAAGAATAAAGTGAAACAATCTCAGAGGGAATCCACTCAACAGAGGAGGTACCTTAACCTCATAGTGGAGTGATTTCCAAAATTGTTAACATCTGTTTGCTCAGTTAGGCTGAATCAGGCCTATGAAGAAAGTCAAAGTTGGAGGAGTACCTCAGAGGGAGGTCTTTCCTTTGTGTGTGGCTGTGGCACAGGAAGGAAGTATGTTGATTCTAAGCCCTAAACAGCACATTTTTGACATTCAGGATTCAGTTCCAAAGAGACATATGTGAGGAAGCAACTCGGAAGAGGAAAGAACAGAAGTCAGGAATGGCCCTTAGTCAGGTAAGATAATAGTCTCAGTGGATTGTTCTGTCTCTGTTTCTTCCTGAAATACCTGGCGTTGGAGTTGCTAATCTCTGACTCTGAAGCATCCTGCCTGTCTGGTTTCCTTGCACTTACCCATGGCTACTTCTAGTCCCTTCATTTCCACCTGAGATTCTAGTTCGCTATCACCCAGTGACATGAGCTTGGGAAGAGGCTACACTGGGCCTGGTCCTGGGCAGGGCTAACCCCAGACATGGATGGAGACGGGGTGTGGGTCCCATGGTTTCAGGGCTGTTGGGCAGCAGTGATTGTTCAGGGGTCACATCTGGATGCACTGTCAGTGTTCTGTGGACTAGAATTAGAGAAGCTATGTGCAGAAGTTACTTTCTTTCTTTCTTTTTTTTTTTTGAGACAGAGTCTTGCTCTGCCAGCCAGGCTGGAGTGCAGTGCCATGATCCCTGCTCATTACAACCTCCGCCTCCCAGGTTCAAAGGATTCTTCCACCTCAGCCTCTTGAGTAGCTGGGATTACAGGTGCGCACCACCACCCCCATCTAATTTTTGTGTTTCTAGGAGAGATGGGGTTTTGCCGTGTTGGCCACGTTGATCTTGAATGCCAGCCTCAAGTGATCCAGCCACCTTGGCCTCCCAAAGTGCTGGGATTACAGGCATGAACCACCACATCTGGCCAAGATTTTGGCTTTTTTTTTTTTTTTTTTTTTTGAGACGGAGTTCTTGCTCTTGTTACCCAGGCTGGAGTGCAATGGTGTGATCTCGGCTCACCGCAACCTCCGCCTCCTGGGTTCAGGCAATTCTCCTGCCTCAGCCTCCTGAGTAGCTGGGATTACAGGCACGCGCCACCATGCCCAGCTAATTTTTTGTAGTTTTAGTAGAGATGGGGTTTCACCGTGTTGACCAGGATGGTCTCGATCTCTTGACCTCGTGATCCACCCACCTCGGCCTCCCAAAGTGCTGGGATTACAGGCGTGAGCCACCGTGCCCGGCCCGATTTTGGCCATTTTAAAAAACTACTGTAGGTCGGATGTGGTGGCTCACACCTATAATCCCAGGACTTTGGAAGGCTGAGATGGGAGGATGGCTTGAGCTTAGGAGTTCAAGACCAGTCTGAGCAACATGGTGAGACCCCATCTTTACAAAAAATACAGAAATTAGCCAGGTGTGGTGGCATGAGCCTGTATTGCCAGCTACTCCAGAGGCTGAGATTGGAGGATCACTTGAGCTTGGGAGGCGGAGGTTGCAGTGAGTCAAGATTATGCCACTGCACTCCAGTCTGAGTGACAGAGTGACACCCTGTTTCAAAAAAAAGAAAAACCACTGTAGGCATCATCATCTCTGAAGACACCTCTTGAATTCTATCTCAGGTAGACACTGGATATCACTTGGCGTGTGAAAACACCTAACACTTATACATAGAGATAACCCTGGTTTAATTTTTTTGTTTGTATTGTCCACAAAACGAGACATCTGTACTGATTTAAAGAATGTCATAAGGCCGGGCGCAGTGGCTCACGCCTGTAATCCCAGCACTTTGGGAAGCCGAGGTGGGTGGATCACCTGAGGTCAGGAGTTCGAGACCACCCCGGCCAACATGGAGAAACCCCATCTCTAAAATAAAAAAAATTTTTTTTTTAAAAGTCATAGCTTGTCATGGAAAAGTATAATAAAACAAGAATTAAAGACACATAACTGTCTCAAGAGTACCTTAATGTGAATTTTTCACAGAGCTCATTTCAGTGGAGTCAGTCCTTAACAACTGTCTTCTCATTCTGTATGAAGATGAGCACTCTCTCCATAGCCTGTGGCTGAAATGTGGATTTCCTTTTAGGGACCGTTGACATTCATGGACGTGGCCATAGAGTTCTCTCAGGAGGAGTGGAAATGCCTGGACCTTGCTCAGAGGACTTTATACAAGGATGTGATGTTGGAGAACTACAGGAACCTGGTCTCCCTGGGTGAGGATAATGTCCCTCCAGAAGTTGGGCTCTGCCCTGGTGGATCTCTGCATTGTCTCTTGGGAGCCTCTTGGGAGCTCCTGCATTGCTTGACTGAGATTGAAACCTTGTTGACTCAAAATTGAAAAGCTCCATTATACTTTCTGGACTTGAAATGTCCCCCTTCTTCAGGTGTTGTGCTCCCTTCACGATTCCTCATTGGTGGCACTAGGGCTGAAGTATGCATGAAACCTTATGACAAATTTTAAAAATATGCAATTTCCTGTTTCCCCCCCTTGTGCTTTTGGTTCTGTAGTTCTCGGAAGGGGGCTTGATGTCTGTGTGTTGCACTGTTTCCTAAGCATTCAGAAAGAGGCAGTCAGTGGATGAATTTGTGAAATGCTATTTTTGATTCATTTGTAATATCCTCTCTCCTACCTAAATATAGGGCTTGGACTTGGAAGATGCCATAGCATGCATTTATTCTTTCTTTTTATAAATAGGAGTGGGTCTTCCTGACCTGAGTGTTGTCTCCATGTTGGAGCAAAAGAGAGAACCCTGGACTCTGCAGAGTGAAGAGAAAATAGCAAGGAATCCAGATGGCAGGGAATGCATCAAAGGTGTGAACACAGGTAAGAGGTCGGGTGGGCAGAGGAGAGGCCCCATAATGTTTGTTTTTTGAGACAGTGTCTCACTCTGTCATCCAGACTAAGTGTAGTGGCAATCATAGCTCACTGCAGCCTTGAATTCCTGGACTCAAGGGATCCTCCTGGCTGCGTCCAGTGTTGGGATTGCAGGCATGAGCCACTGTACCCTGCAAAGCCACACTCTTAGATAGTGTTTGGGAAACTCTCTGACAGTGGCACAATTCTGAGGGAAAACAAAAGTTGAAGTCTTGTGAGTTCTGAACAGGCATTTTTCTTTATTTTCCTATTTATTTTTGGAAATAGTGTCTCTCTCGCATTACCCAAGCCAGAGTCCAGTGGCATGATTACAACTTGCTGCATCCTTGACTTTCTGGGCTCAGGGGATTCTTCCACTCCAGCCTTCTGAATAGGTGGGACTACAGGTGTACGCCACCATGCCTGGCTAATTTTTTGTATTTTTTGTGGAGATGGCGTTTCACCCAGGCTGCTCTCGAACTCCTGGCCTCAAGCAATCCACCTGCCTCAGCTTCCCAAAGTGTTAGGATTACAGATGTGAGCCACCATACCCAGCAAGGTGTGTTGTTTAATTGGTACAAATTTGTGGATCGTTAAATTTTTCTTCTTTTGGCTGGGCAGAGTGGCTCATGCCTGTAATCCCAGCATTTTGGGAGGCCGAGGCAGGCAGATCACTTGAGGCCAGGCGTTCAAGATCAGCCTGGCCAACATGGTGAAACCCTGCCTCTACTAAAAGTGCAAAAATCAGCAGGGTGTAATGGCAGGCACCTGTAATCTTAGCTACTCAGGAGGCTGAGACAGGAGAATCGCTTGAACCCAGGAGGCAGAGGTTCCAGTGAGCCGAGATCATGCCATTGCACTCCAGCCTGGGCGACAGAGGGAGACCCGTCTCAAAAACTGTAAAAATAAAAATACATTTTTTTGTTTCGTTAATTTCAACATTTCATCCCTCTGCCTCCGGACTAGCTGGGATTATAGACATGCACCAGTACACCTGGCTAATTTCTATACTTGTAGTAGAGACAGGATGTTTCCATGTTGGCCAGGCTGGTCTCTAACTTCTGGCCTTATGTGATTAGCCCCCATTGGCCTCCCACAGTGCTTGGGATTACAGGTGTGAGCCACTGCACCCGGCCCAAAACATTCCATTTTAAATGTTAACAGCTTATCTTTGATTAGGTACAGAAAGCTATGCTTACCAACTCTGTTCTCATTTTCTGTTATTACTGGCATAAATTAATCCTATATATTTTATGTTCCCATTAACATATGTTTATAATGCTTTTTAAATGAATATGTCTTTTTTTTTTTTTTTTTTTTTTGAGATGGAGTCTCCCTCTATTACCCAGACTAATCCTGGCTCACTGTGGACTCTGCCTCCTGAGTTCAAGTGACTCTCCTGCCTCAGCCTCCTGAGTAGCTGGGATTAAAGGTGTCTATCACCCGCCGTGGCTAATTTTTGTATTTTTAGTAGAGATGGGTTTTTGCCATCTTGGCCAGGCTGGTCTCCAACTCCTACCTTGGCCTTCCAAAGTGCTGGGATTAGGCATGAGCCACTGTGCCGGCCTGATTGTGTCTTTTAAACTGTAGGAAAGAATTTAAGTCAAGTTCCAAGTGAAAAGTGCAATAATACATGTTTCTGTATTTGATCATTTGTTGACCTTTTATGATAAGCATTTTTATTCTATTGTTTATTTTTTGGGGATGGAGTTTTGCTCTTGTTGCCCAGGCTGGAGTGCAATGGCAGGATCTCGGTTCACTGCCACCTTTCATCCTGGGTTCAAGTGATTCTCCTGCCTCAGCTTCCCGAGTAGCTGAGATTTCAGGGGTCCACCACGACACCCAGCTAATTTTTATATTTTTAGGAGAAACGGGGTTTCATCATTGGCCAGGCTGGTCTCAAACTCCGGACCTCAGGTGATACACCCACCTTAGGCTCTCAAAGTGCTGAGATTATAGGCGTGAGTCACCGCGCCCAGGCTGTGATGAGCTTTACATTTTCATTTAGGTTAAAGATTGCTTTCCTTTCATCTTGAATGCTGCTTTTTGCATTTCTTCTTGAACAGGTCTAGAATACTAATTAACTTCCTCAGCTTTTCATCTAGGAAAGTCTAAAAGTCTTTATTTTTGTAGGTGAGTTTTGCTACGTGCAGTATTCTGCATTGCTGTTTTGCTTATTTTTCTTTAAGCACTTTCAGTATATCACCTCACTGCTTTCTAGCCGGAAGATATCAGCTGGAAAATACATATAATCTTACAATGTTTCCTGTTGTCTGACAATCTCTTTTTTGTTGCTGCTGTCAAGATTGTGTCTTTGTCTTCTTTTGACTTTTGATAATTTCTTTACAGTATGTCTCTGTGTGAATGTATTTGGATTAATTTTAGTTAGAATGGTCAAGCCTCTTTTTTCTTTTGAGATGGAGTTTCATTCTTGCTGCCCAGGCTGGAGTACAATGGCGTGAGATTGGCTCACTGCAATCTCCGCCTCCCAGGTTCAAGCAGTTCTTCTGCCTCAGCCTCCCAAGTAACTGGGATTACAGGTGCCTGCCACCACGCCCGGCTAATTTTTTATATTTTTGTTTTGTTTTGTTGGAGGTGGAGTCTCACTCTGTCGCCCAGGCTGGAGTGCAGTGGCGCCATCTCGGCTCACTGCAGCCTCTGCCTTCTGGGTTCAAGCATTTCTCCTGCCTCAGCCTCACGAGTATCTGGGACTACAGGTGCACACCGCTATACCTGGCTAATTTTTTGTATTTTAGTAGAGACGGGGTTTCACCATGTTGCCCAGGCTGGTCTCGGAACTCCTGAGCTCAGGCAGTCCACCCCACTTGGCCTCTTTTTTTTTTTTTTTTTTTTTTTTTTTTTTTTTTTTGAGACGGAGTTTCACTCATGTTACCCAGGCTGGAGTGCAATGGCACGATCTCGGCTCACCGCGACCTCCGCCTCCTGGGTTCAGGCAATTCTCCTGCTTCAGCCTCCTGAGTAGCTGGGATTACAGGCACGCACCACCATGCCCAGCTAATTTTTTGTTTTTTTTTTTTTTTTAGTAGAAACGGGGTTTCACCATGTTGACCAGGATGGTCTCAATCTCTTGACCTTGTGATCCACCCGCCTCGGCCTCCCAAAGTGCTGGGATTACAGGCTTGAGCCACCACGCCCGGCCCACTTGGCCTCTTAAAGTGCTAGGATTAGAGGTATGAGCTACTGTACTGGCTAATTTTTGGCATTTTTTGGTAGAGACAAGGTTTTACCATTGGCCAGGCTAATCTTGAACTCCCGATCTCAGGTAGTCCACCTGCCTCGGCCTGCCAAAGTGCTGGGATTACAGGTGTGAGCCATTGTTTTTGGTCTGGTCAAGCCCCTTGAATTTCTATATTCAATTCTTTCCTCAGATTTGGGATGTTTCAGAAATTATTTCTTCAATTGTAATTTTTGATCCTCTGTTTTCTCCTTATGCACCTCCAGTAGTTTGTATATTTTCCCACTTGATTGTTCTTCAAAAATCTGTAAGAAAAACTGTTTCCTTTTCTTCATTGTGTTTTCTTTTCTTTTTTTTTCTTTTTGAGATGGAGTTTTGCTCTTGTTGCCAGGCTGAGTGCAGTGGCATGATCTTGGCTCATTCAACCTTCGCCTCCCAGGTTCAAGCGATTCTCTTGCCTCAGCCCCCCAGGTAGCTGGGATTACAGGCATGCACTATCACGCATGGCTAATTTTGTGTTTTTAGAATAGATGAGCGTTCTTCATGTTGGCCAGGCTGGTCTCGAACTCCCAATCTCATGTGAACCTCTTACCTCAGCCCCGCAAAGTGCTGGGATTACAGGCGTGAGCCACCTCACCTGGCTTGTTGTGTTTCCTTTTTGCTCATTGTTTCTTCTTTAAGTCTGCTCCTTGTTTCTTGTGCCTTATTCGGTCTGCTGCTGAACCCTCTAGTGAACATTTGCGTCAATCATGGTATTTCAGCTCCACAGTTCTTATTCCCTTTTTAATAGTTTCTCCCATGTTTTATACCCCCCCCTTTCTTCTTTTATTTTGAGACAGAGTCTCATTCCGTTGCCCAGGCTGGAGTGCAGTGGCACGATTTTGGGTCACTGCAACCTCTGCCTCCTGGGTTCAGGTGATTCTTCAGCCCAGGCCTCCCGAGTAGCTGGGATTACAGGCACCTGCCATGATACTCTCCTTTTCATGCGTGGTTTTATTTTAAGACAGTTGCTTTCGATGTTTGTCAAGTAATCCGAGGGCTGCCTTTATATAGGTTGGAGATTTGTTTGTTTCTTTGTTTAAATTTAGCCATATTTCCATGTCCATTTGTAGGCCATCTAATTATTTTTTAGGTGTGCTAAAACAACCATTTCTCCCAGTTCATTTCTTTCTTTCCTTTCCTTTCTGTTCGTTCCTTCCTTCCTTCCTTCCCTCCCTCCCTTATTTCTTTTGTTTTCTTTCTTTTCTTTTCTTCTTTCTTTCTTTTCTCTCCCCCCACCCCCGCCTTTGTCACCCAGGCTGCAGTGTACTGGCACAATGTTGGCTCACTGCAACCTCTGCCTCCCGGGTTCAAGCAATTCTCCTGCCTCAGCCTCCTGACTATCTGGGATTACAGCTGCCCGCCACCAGGCCTGGCTAACTTTTTGTATTTTTTTTTTTTTTTTTTTTTGAGACGGAGTTTCGCTCTTGTTACCCAGGCTGGAGTGCAATGGCGCGATCTCGGCTCACCACAACCTCCGCCTCCTGGGTTCAGGCAATTCTCCTGCCCCAGCCTCCTGAGTCGCTGGGATTACAGGCACGCGCCACCATGCCCAGCTAATTTTTTGTAGTTTTAGTAGAGACGGGGTTTCACCATGTTGACCAGGATGGTCTCGATCTCTTGACCTCGTGATCCACCCGCCTCGGCCTCCCAAAGTGCTGGGATTACAGGCTTGAGCCACCGTGCCCGGCCAACTTTTTGTATTTTTAGTAGAGACGGGGTTTCACCATGTTGGCCAGGCTGGTCTCAAACTCCTGACCTGAAGTGTTTGACCTCATAGTGTGTTTCACTATGTCGGCCAGACTGGTCTCGAACTGTTCACCTCAGGTGAAACCAGCCCACCTTGGTTTCCCAAAGTGTTGGGATTATAGACGTGAACCACTTTACTGGCCATTCCAGTTCTTTTATGTAAGGATTGTACAGGGTGAGATGGTTCCTGGGAACACTCAGTCCTTTTCTGGGATTTTTCTGAATTGTGGAAGTACCATTACTAATGTCTATATAGCTGTTCTTGGATCTCTGATTTTCCCTAAGAGGCTCATCCCTGCTTTTTCCCAAAAGCTTTCAGTTTCTGTTGTACTTCTCTACTCATAACCTCTTTCAGACTTCCCCATAGTTCTCTCGACTCCTTCAGATTCCCCACTGCTCCAGTGCATCACCTCAGTTCCTTGTGTTTTCTGCACTGCCAGCATGATGTACACAATATGCTGATATTCCTACCAATGCCTGAGTTAGGTGAGGCAGAATCTAGATCTTCTGTCAGACACTAAACCTGCCATTATCATGGGTTGAAGTTCCACTGCTTTCTTTCTGTTTTAGAGAGGAGCTGTAAATTGGGAAGTAATGTAGGAAACAAGCCTTGTAAAAGTCAACTTGAATTCATGTTTCATTTACATCTGAGTGATCTGCAGCTATTTCAAGATGAAAGGAAAATGTCTGGATGTAAGGATGTTGAAAAACTCATAAATGACAATTCCTCCGTTTCACCACTTCAAAATACTTCTTCCAGTGTCGAATCCTGCCTTTTAAGTAAATATAGAAATAATTTTGATGATGCTCCATTTCTTCCGCAAGAACAGAAATCACATATTAGGGGAGAACCTTATGAAGGTAATGAGCATGGTCAAGTCTTTAGAGCATCTGCAAACCTTACCAACCATCAAGTAATCCATATTGCAGACAGTCCTTACAAATGCAATGAGTGTGGCAAGGTCTTTAATTGCAGTTCAAAGCTTGTGATACATCAAAGAATGCATACTGGAGAGAAGCCTTACAAATGTAATGAATGTGGCAAGGTCTTTAGTAGCAATTCAAACCTTTCACAACATCAAAGAATTCATACTGGAGAGAAGCCTTACAAATGTCATGAATGTGGCAAGGTCTTTCGTAGCAGTTCAAAGCTTGCACAACATCAAAGAATTCATACTGGAGAGAGGCCTTACAAATGTCATCAGTGTGACAAGGTCTTCAATCAAATTGCACACCTTGTACGACATCAGAAAATTCATACTGGAGAGAAACCTTACAGATGTAATCAATGTGGCAAAGTCTTCAGTCGTCATTCATATCTAGCAGAACATCAAACAGTTCATACTGGTGAGAAACCTTACAAATGTAAAGAATGTGGCAAAGCATTTTCAGTGCGTTCCAGCCTCATTACCCATCAGTTAATTCACACTGGAAGGAAACCTTACAAATGTAAAGAATGTGACAAGGTCTTTGGGCGCAAGTGTTTCCTGACCTCTCATCAGAGAATTCATACTAGAGAGAAACCTTACGGATGCAATCAGTGTGGCAAGATCTTTAGTCAGAATTCAGACCTCATACGACACCGAAAAATTCATACTGACGAGAAACCTTACAAATGTAATAAATGTGGCACAGGGTTTAGAGAGTTTTCAGACCTCACTGCCCATTTTCTAATCCATAGTGGAGAGAAACCTTACGAATGTAAAGAATGTGGCAAAGTCTTCAGGTACAAGTCTTCTCTAACTAGTCACCATAGAATTCATACTGGAGAGAAGCCATACAAATGTAATGAATGTGGCAAGGTCTTCAGTCGTAGTTCAAACCTTATATGCCATGAGAAAATTCATACAGGAGAGAAGCCTTACAAATGTAATGAATGTGGCAAGGTCTTTAATCAACCTTCATACCTTACAAGACATCAAATAATTCATACTGGAGAGAGACCTTACAGATGTAATGAATGTGGCAAAGCGTTTAGAGGGTGTTCTGGCCTTACTGCCCATCTTGCAATCCATGCTGAAAAGAAATCTCATGAATGTAAAGAATGTGGCAAGATCTTCAGTCACAAGTCTTCCCTAACCAATCACCAGAGAATTCATATTGGAGAGAAACCTTACAAATGCACCCTGTGCAGTGAGGTCTTTAGCCACAATTCTGACCTTGCACAGCATCAGAGAATTCATTCATGAGAGTTCTTACAAACTGTGTATGGCAAGATCTTCATCATGAGTTCCAGCATTAACATCAGAAAGTCCATACTAAGTGGAAATCATATAAATGAAATGTGTGTGACTCAGGCTTTATCAAGGTCTGCCAAATCACTGGACATCAAAATATACCTCTTGGATGCAACCACATAGATGGATTATGTGTACTCAGGCTATTATTCAAGGACCGTTACTATAGAATATGATAGGATTTGCACAAGTAACTTAGTCTCTGGTTCTCCAGTATTTATGATATGGCATGCTGCAGAATAATGCTGTTAAAATATGTTGAATCTCATGAGATGATGTATATCGAAGGTGCAAGGGCATGTGGAAATGATCAGTTGTATTCAGGTTATAAAAAATTCAATTATTTGGGGTATGTAGAAAAGGCTAGTTTACTCTTTATGACTTTGAAATCTCTTCATGTGCCTTCCATACGGGCCTCTGGGAAAGAATGAGTAGGATGACAGGGCTAACTTCATTAGCTGAGGATTATTTCTATCCAATTTCCTGATGAAAAAGAACACTGCCTTTTTGGAATAAATACTGTCTGATTTAGAGAGCATGGAGGTGGGCAGAGTAACTTAAAGCTCTGATGACCATCATCATACTGTTGACCAGCACATTTTCTCCTGATGTAAGTTCACACTGCCTCAGTATCTACCAACTGACCATGAAATAGAGTGTCCATGATCTTAAGACGTGGGTTATTAATGGGAAGAGAGTAATATGTTGCTGGGGTCTCATTATGGAGCAGAAATAATGCAAGGAAAAAGATGTCTACCTTCTCCATTGAATAGCAGTAGTTGGTGTTTAGCAAAGACTGATGAGACAACCTAGTCTTTTTTTTTTTTTTTTTTTTTGAGATGGCATCTCTCTGCTGCCCAGGCTGGAGTTTAGTAGTGTGTTCTGGGCTTATTGCACCCTCTGCCTCTTGGGTTCAAGCAGTCCTTCCGTCTCAGCCTCCCAAGTAGCTGGACTACAGGTGTGCATCACCACACCCAGCTCATTTTTGTATTTTTAGTAGAAATAGGGTTTATACTATGTTGGCAAAGCAGATCTTAGACTCCTGACCTCAAGTGATCTGCCCACCTTGGCCTCCCAAAGTGCTGGGATTACAGGTATGAGCCACCACGCCCAGACTTATCTTCGAAATGGAAGAGAGAAGTTATATCACAGTAGAGAATTTAATCATGACCAGATCAGCATATTCTTTTTTTACATGAGATGGAGTTTCATTCTTGTCACCTAGATTGGAGTACAGTGGCATGATCTTGGCTCGCTGCAACCTCCACTTCCTGGGTTCAAGCACTGCCTCAGCCTCCCAAGTAACTGGGATTATAGGCGCATACCACCACACCCAGCTAATTTTTGTATTTTTAGTAGAGATGGGGTTTCACCATGTTGGCCAGACTGGTCAACTCCTGCCTCAGGTGATCCACCCACCTTGGGCTCAAAATGGTGGAATTACAGGCATGAGCCACTGTGCCCGACCAAATCAGCATATTCTCAAGTAGGATTCTCACTTAATTCTTGGCATTATAGGCATTATAAGTTACAACTGTTTTTTTTTTTAGAATGTGTGTAGTTCTCTTGTTTGCAGTAATAAAGTTTCATTTTTCCTACGTATGAATGAATCCTGTCTTTTTTTTTTTTTTTTTTTGAGACGGAGTTTCGCTCTTGTTACCCAGTCTGGAGTGCAATGGCGCGATCTTGGCTCACCGCAACCTCCGCCTCCTGGGTTCAGGCAATTCTCCTGCCTCAGCCTCCCGAGTAGCTGGGACTACAGGCGTGCGCCACCATGCCCAGCTAATTTTTGTATTTTTAGTAGAGACGGGGTTTCACCATGTTGACCAGGATGGTCTCGATCTCTTGACCTCGTGATCCACCCGCCTCGGCCTCCCAAAGTGCTGGGATTACAGGCTTGAGCCACTGCGCCCGGCCGAATCCTGTCTTTTCTAACAACATGATTTCATCCCACCTCAGGAGGATGGATGCTCAGTAGCACGCAGTAATGTACCATTGGGATTTTAAGGTTGGAGCATCCAAAGCAGGTTTTCCGGCTGTGAAATGAAACATGTCATTTGGGTACATATCTTTAGGTAAGTGTGAATATAAGTAATCATACTAGGTACATGAGTTATATCTGTTTTCTGCCCTAGAATGCTTATGTGGGTACAATGAAAATCCCACAGCAGTGCACCTGCAGCATCCTATACCCTCAAACACGTATACATCGCTCTTGGTGAATGTTCACTGTATCACCATATTTCTCTCCCTCCCTGCCTTCCCCTCTCTCCATCTCTCCCTTTCCCTCCTCTCCCACTCTCTTTCTCTTTGAGACGGAGTTTTGCTCTTATTACCTAGGCTGGAGTGCAGTGGCATGATTTCGGCCCACTGTAACTTCCATCTTTCGGGTTGAAGCGATTCTCCTGACTTAGCCTACCGAGTAGCTGGGATTGCAGGCCTGCGCCACCATGCCCAGCTAATTTTATGTTTTTAGTAGAGACAGGGTATCAGGCTAGTCTCGACCTCCTGACCTCAGGTGATCCACCTGCCTCAGCCTCCCAAGGTGCTGGGATTACAGATGTGAGCCACTGCGCCCAGTCTGATGTATATGTTTTTGAGGACCTTTCTCTTTCTGAGCATAGTCTCAGCAATGTACCAAGATATAACAGTCTCACTTGAGATAACGCCTGTGTTTCTTTGTCCTACCTTCAAGAAAAGGAGTGAGGACACAAAAGTGAGGTTGGAGCGAAAATTTAATAAGCAAAAGGAGAAATCTCTCTGCCAGCAGAGAGGGGATCCTGAACAGGAGTACTGACTGAGGTCTATTCTGGGGTTTTTAGGCACTGGAAAGTGTTCCTTCCATACATTGTAATCAGCTTGTACATTTAATAGATTTCTTCCCTGTGTTAACTGCAGTAAAAAATTTAGGGGGTACTTAAATGAGGGTGTGGTTGGGAGACAAAATTTTCTGACATGAAAATAAGCATAAGACATGGCAGACACAACCTGTGTTCTCTATAAATATGAAAAAAGGAGTGTCCCTGTAAGTCTTCAGTTAAATATAAGTACTAGGATAATATGGGGGTCTTTTAAAAGTTCATGGAAATTGTGTATTATGAAAAAAAACTATGTATGGATTTGAAACATTCGTGTACCAAAATAAACCCATGCTAGTTATAACATGTCTAAACAGGATCCAATTTGATGTGTTGGGTGCCAGCCTCAACCGTGTACGTGGACGCCCTGAGTCCCGGTGGTGACAGGGGAGTGAGAAAAGAAATAAGACTAAGACAAAGACAAGAGTAGAATTCCACAGTGCGGGTCCAGGGGGGCCAACAAATGCTAGCGTGGGGGGACAGCATTGGCCCTGAGCTCTGGGCTCCACACACTTTTATTAGAGGCATTATCTTGTTATTCTAGCAGGCTGTAGGGAGGGGAGGTGAGATTACAGGCATGGCTTCTGGTCACTGATAGGGTCTTTCCTCAAACATCTGGAAAACGCAGGGCACGTAGCCCGTAATCCCAGCACTTTGAGAGGCTGAGGCGGGTGGATCATGAGGTCAGGAGATAGAGACCATCCTGACCAACATGGTGAAACCTTCTCTCTACTAAAAATACAAAAATGAGCAGAGTTTGGTGGTGTGTGCCTGTAGCCCCGGCTACACAGGAGGCTGAGACAGGAGAATTCCTTAACCCAGCAGGTGGAGGTTGCAGTGAGCCCAGATCACGCCGCTATACTCCAGCCCAAGCCACAGACCAAGACTTTCTCAAAAAAAAAAAAAAAAAGCCAGGTGCGGTGACTCATGCCTGTAATCCCAGCACTTTGGGAGGCCAAGGTGGGCATATTACCTAAGGTCAGGAATTCGAGACCAGCCTGTCCAGCATGGTGGTCACATAAAGGAGGAGACTGGAATAAGATGCCCACCTCCGGAAAAGCTCATTTTGAGTGGACCACAAGAACATTTGGAGGTGAACAGACAGGCCCTGATCACCTCCCGAACGCGGGGTCAGGAGAAGAGGTGGCCAGGAAGAGGACGCTGTTCTGTTACTAAGAACAGGAATGATACCGAGCTCGGATTTGTAATTTGGAGGCAGGTTCGCGAGAAGAAAACACCAAGCCGAGAATAACAAAGTAAAAGAAGAGGATTTTATTTACAGAAGGTTATAGGTAAAGGAAGAGGATTTTATTTACAAAAGGGACATACCCAGAGACCGTCCGTCCGGACACTCAGCACCGGCGTTACAGCAGCACGGGCAAAACGCAAGTCAGAACTTTAAGCAATCTTTTCGTCTCTCTCTCTCTCCCTCTCTTCAGCACCGGCGTTACAGCAGCACGGGCAGGGCGCAAGTCACAGCTCTCCGCAATCTTTCTCTTCCTCTCTTTTTCCCTCTTTCCGCCTTTCTTTGGTTTTTGTCTGTATTTTATATGTTGCAGTTCAACTTAGGTCATAAAGTAAACACCAGCTGCTCTTTGTCTTGTCTCTCATGAACGTTATCATTATGTAACGGCAATCCTTGGCTTTGTCTACGGTTCTCGAAGAGACGGGAATTGGCCAGATTCCCGGCTCCTCGGACGTAAGCCAGGGCCATCACGAGCTCCTAATGCCCCAGGCTTACTGCCAAAGAAATGATAACTTTAGTTCCCAAGGTCCAAGAAACTTAGAGCAAACACTGGGCATGACTTTTCTTATATTAACCCTACAGACGCCTGGTGATCAGAAGGGCCAAGATCAAGAAAGAAAAGGGAAGAGGGCGAATTATTAGGGGCGAGGGTCTGCAGGATACCAGAACCAGTCACAGGATGCAGCCTCCATGGTTTGGGGCTGGGGTGCTGTGCTCCCGGGGCCGAGGGGGGCAAGGCTTTGGGGGCCTGACGGACATAAGTAGTGGATGAGGACTTTACGTGGCAGGGGGCGGATGTAGGTGTCATTGAAGGATTTGAAGCAGCTCCATGATAAGGGCTGTCTACATGGCCCTATGGCAGAAACACTGGGGACAGGACCGGCCTCCGTGCGATTTTAACACGCAGGAAAACGATTGCCGGACTCTCACAGAGAAGCCTGAATTTACTTGGGGTGGAGGGAGCAGTGCGAGGATTTTAAGGTCTGTGCTGCCCTCAGATCCTGAGTACAGATGGGCGGGAAAGCTGGGAAGCGCAGATTTAATCTAAACAAAGGGAAAAATGGCTCTGCCACCCTGCAAGATCAGCTTCCGAGTCTGCTGGAACCCTCCGCCGGTAGGGGAGGCCAGGCCTCGCGGGGCTGGGGCAGCGCCATGGTGAGATAGGGGCGCGGCCAGGGCGGGATAGGGAGGGGCGTGCGCTTCCCTCCGCTTTGCTCCCAGCACCTCTGTTTTTCCGGATTTGGA